GCAACCTCCTTCAGAGCAGCCACGAACGGGAGGGTGTGGGAGGGTTTAGCCACCACTCACCTGGAGCACGTGGAAGCCGTTTGTTGGATGTTCCTAACTTGATTCAAACAACCTTGTCCTTTCTCCGAGCAATGTGTTTATTAGGACTGTATTACCAGTACTTAGCTTTAGTATTCCTAGTGTGTTCGAGGGTGTGCCAACATGCATTGGGGCAATGATCCCTAAAGGGAAAATCGTCCAACCCACCCCTCGAACCCGAAGGTTCCATGTGCGAATTGGTGGGGGGGGGGCGTTGCATCTGGCCGCCCCTTCGTTGCCCTCGAAGCGCTGAGGCAACGTGGTGTCCACGCTGCTGGCGATCTATGCCTTCCCAGAGCCTTTGGACTGGCAGGAGCCGGGGGGTTCGGATCAGAGTGTGGCGGGTGTGGCGGGATCGGCTGGGGCTTTTGCCCGCAGGGATGTTTTTGTTTTTTGGTCAAAAGGCGGCGTGGCGCAAGTTTTGCCTTTCCATTTTGGAAACTATTTTTCGGTCTCATTTCCGCGGCCGCCATGTTTTGCGCCAGCTTGGAAAAGCGACCCGGCTGATCCGGAAAGTTGCTGTGTGTTGCTCGCCCCTGCAAGCGCTTGTTCTGTGGTGAAGGCTGCACCTGCCCTGTTGGCTGCCTGTGATGCGGCAAGCGGCCAAACTTCGAAAAGTTGGACGGGCCCTTTTCTTTTTTTTGGCATTTGTCAGCACTCGTTCGTAGTTGCTGTTGGATGCCACTCATGATGCTGGGAGAGTGGACAGACTTTGACCGTGCACTGGAAGGGCCTAAGGGAGATTTCACTTTTGCAATTCAAACGTATTTCTCGGAACGATGTCCGCAGAGTTTCCATGGAAGACTGCAGGCCTGCTCCTTAGGATTCGCAGCCACTAAGGAGCGTGTATCAAATCCTTCGCAAATTCGGTGCTCCGATCAAAGCCCTTTGACGCGCACCGCTTTCCGACAGCCTGAAATGGGCTTTCGGCACACCTCTGGCGGACGGCTTGCCGATGGTGCGGCAGAGAGGGATCAAAACCTGTTTGGAGGGGTATTTTCAGTTTTTAGTTTTTTTTTCCTCTTCTTCCGCTTTTGGTTTTTGGGTTCTTGGCTTCTTGGCTTTTCGGCTTCTTGTTCAAAAGCAAGGTGTAGGCTTTGTCAGGATTCGGTGCCCCAAAAACCGCCAGGAGGTGGCGGCGGTGTGGGCCTACGACATCGGCGCGCTGATCTTTGTGGACCTGACGCCGCTCGGCCTTCACCTGGAAAACGCGTGGTTGGGGTTGAGGGTTTGCGAGGCGACCCCACTGGGACCTTAAGAGATATGGCTGAGGTAACCCCAAAATGGCTCTCCCTGGTAAATGGAAAGGACGTTTGGGCGCCTAAAGGCAGATTGACAAGGGTGACCTCGGTGACATGCGATCTTGATTCGGCGGCTTTTTCCTTCTTGGAATTCATGTGTTTGTTCAACGTGACGTGTTTTGTCAAATTAAATGGGCCCAAGCTTTCTGTTTGTTGCAAAAGGCCACATCAGAGCCAACTCGCACTACCCACGCAATGAAGATGGGCAAGCCCAGGGTGTGACCTGAATCGTAGTGAGACTGGAAGCTCACCAGCTTCTCATGTCGGCATGTCAGACGTGGTGGTGTCAGGCCAGCGTCAAAAGCACCTGGCGACTGCACAGATGCCCAATTACTTGGCATGCTCGGATCTACCACATCTTGGCCGGCGCCAAAACAGATGTGTAACCAGGGACCCTGACGGCGCAGGCTGCTGTTCTTATTTTTAGCAAGCCATTGGACAGATAAGCATGGACACCCACACCACGATACGATAAATTTGATAATGCTAAGGACCGTAATTGGGCTTGCATGTAGTTGTCAGGCCTTGCCTCTGGCCTGACACCACTGGTGCCTGACACGCAGAGATGTTACTGAGAAGCAGCCCCAACCAAACTGCCAGCCGCTGTCCCGGGTTTCTTTGTTTCAGGACCCCTTTTTGAAAGATGGCAGGTGTCTCGCCGCCTCGGTTCTGGGCCTTCACGTGTTCGCAACACATCGCCTGAAAAAATCGCAGGAAGATGATGTACAAGTTCATCTACGAGGCGGACGCCGCGGGCGTCATCGACGAGTACCAGATTGCCGAAGAGGACAAGTCCCTGAAGCCGGGGGAGCAGGACGGGTCGGCCGAAGCCGGGGGAGCAGGACCCTGTCCATTGCGCTCTTTCTGTTGAGAGGTCTTCAAGTTTCTTGGTCCCGGTGGTGCAAAACCAACCTTTCTGAACTTTTGGGTGTTCCCTTCTTGATCCAAGTTTTGTAGAGGTCCCTTTTGGGTGATCACCTTGTTTATCCAGGTGCTCAAGGGGCGAGTAAGCGAGCGTTTCGATTCGAGGGCTCAAGCAATCAGTTTCTGGTCCCAGGACACCATGGCGCCCCAAGACTGTGAAGCGACCATCCGCCGAGTGCGGGAGAGCGTGAAGATCATGCAGCAGACCAGCCGCAAGTACAGCAGCGCCAGCGGGCGCAACACCTCCATGCGATTCCTCTCCACAGGCGGCTTGATCGCCTCCTCGATTTTTTGGTGCGAAATCGGTAGGGGATGAGAAATGGAATGAACCTGGGAGTCCACTAGGGAAACCACCAGTTGGATGGTTTATAAGGGTCATTCCCATTCTCATTCCCACCTCTCGCACCGATCGCAAGTTTTTGGGTGCCGTGCCGGGAACGCTCGCTCGCGGCATTCCAGCGCTTCAAGTGTGCCGGCTTGCGACATAGTTGCGCCAGGTGAAGTTAGCCTGACAACTTGAAGTCGGGATAATGTTGACCCCGGATTAATCAACCCCTGTTTATTAATATGGGGGTGTTCCCCTCCAAGAGCGATGATTTTTCACTAAAACCAGGGACACCCCCACAAAAAAACAAAAACACGGGGGTTTGTTAACCCGGGGTCAACATTACCGGCTGGAAACACAAACCATCCTTGCAGGTGCTGACAATCTGGGGAAGCCCTTTCTCGCTTGCGAGGCCAGCAGCGCACCAGCCGCGTGATGTCGCGCTCCTCCATGATGTCTAAGAAGAACTACACGCACACCCGTAGCACCCTGGCTGAATTGGAATGCCAGTATTCCATTTTCCCAAGCTGATTTTGGGCACTGCAATGGGGTGAAGGCTTCCTAGAGACAAGCTCCAACCGAGCTTCCGAGTGCCATTGATTCGTGATGCATGGCATGTTGGGACAGACCGGCAAACAACTCGGCGTTCACACACACAGAACGAAGCACAGGGGGAATCAGTTGAGAATTGAAGCCTCCAAGCAGACTTCAACACTAAGCCAAAAGAGAGCTCGGATGTTGGGCTTGACCATGGTCTAGGACATATTCCGTGCTTCCAGATCTGGACTTGTGCACCTCTCCATTCAAAGTTCTATCTAGGGTGCAGGAAGTTGGCACTGGCTCCCGGCACCTGCGGGGGGCCGGAGCTGCCCTGAATTCTTCAGTCGCGCGAAGCGGTTGCAAGGCTCTGTTCACTACGGCGATGACCTGCGCAAGAGGACCGCGTTGGGGGGCGGGGGTGGCGGGTGTTGCGTCCAAAGCCGAGAGCAACGCACCGGGCGGGGCTCACTTTTTTTTTGTTGAAGGGCACACTTTCTTGGCCATGAGGGCTTGGGTAATGTTGCCCCTATATTAGTCAACCCCAGCTTATTAATAGGGGGTGCCCCTGGGTTTAGTGGGGAATCATCACTTTTGGAGGGGAACGCCCCCCTATGAGAAAACTGGAGTTAATTAATATGGGGTCAAATGCTGGGCGGTTTGCTGGGCGGCCAGCCCATGCCCCCACCAGATTTCCGTCGCGTTCCACTAGGCTGTTTGCGATCCGCAGCAAGGACGCCCGCCTCCATTCGCTTTAAGCCGTGAGCGCAGCGGCGAAGTGTGCAAGTGGGCAGTGAGGGAGTGTGATGGGCAAGTAGAGCCGCCCGTCCACACCCAACAGAATATAACACTTGCCGTGCTAAAGTTGATGGGCACATGACATAGGCCTCACGGCTTTTCGGTGCCTCTTGAATGTTTGCAGTAGGCTTCCCCACAGCGGCGCCGCTGCGGATGCCAGAGCCCTTTATCCTTCCAATCCCGCGCCCCGTGGCTCTTTCAAGTCATTCCAGCGAAGTTCACAACTGAGGCCCGGTGTTGCTTTTGGGGCCCTGGTTTGGGTTGACCATTTTCCTTCTCCTCTTCTCTACGAGGCTTACAGGGGGTCGCTTTCGGGGGTTTTGCAGGCCATGTGTGATGCCCTGCCGAGGGGGGCTTTCTGCTCCCTTTCCATCCGTTTCTGTGGAGGCACTGGGTGTCCTGCAATCGTTTATATATGTTCGTGCCAAGGTTTAAAAAAGGCGCAGCGCTTCCTTTGCACGACGGGTGGCACAGAGAGATGGATGCGCCCGAGGGAGACTTGACTTTAGGCAAAGGCACCTGGTGGCTGGCTGACTTGATTTGCTTGGCTGGCGCAAATTTTGACAAATGGCATAAATTGTATGCTTTGGGCAGTGGAGCACGTTGAAAAGGGAACAGCACATCGGCCTGGCTTGCCTGATATTTTTTTCTGGGCCCTGTGGAGTTTGGACTTGCCGAGCAGCTTGCCAGCAGCAGGTGCTCTGGAAGCTTTGTCCCGACCAGCTGGCACATCTAAAGGGCGCTCTAGTGGGTTCGATCCCCGCCCCGTGTGAGCTGGACATGTTTCCGACTTTCCATTGAGGGGTCGCAGGCCGGGTTTTTTGCATAAATGGCAGGCCCGAAAGGCTGAGAGAACAGCGACAATCAGAGCCACCATTCTAGTTGAGAACGCGAAATGTGGCATCCTGTAAGAAGCTTTTTGGCGGGTAATTCAGGGTCGTTTCGCCCCGGTCTGCACTTTTGGTCCCCAGTTTTCAGCTTTGCGCAGCTCGGGCGCGCCTTGCGATTGGCCCGGAGGGGGCCACCGCTCGGCCGAGGCCGGGGAGCCTTTGGACCCCAAGCGGAAGTACAAGGTGCGGTTACGGAGAGCTTGCCGGTCATTCCCCTGCGGTGCGTGGCGCAGAGATCAAGATGGGGATCACTGAGCAGGTCAGACAGTCGCAAAAGTGAGGAAACAGAGGCACTGAATTTCAGACAAGGGGACGGTCAGGTTGATGGGATGGTTGGAGTGGTTGGTACATTGGAGGGTGGAGAGTCGGACCGGTTGGGACGTTGATAGCTGGGACGGGACGGCTGAGATGGTGACGGTTGTGCTGCAGGTGGGATATAGCACAGCAGACTGTTGGGGGAAGCGGCCATTGGACTCGAGAGCTGCGCCATCAAAACTGGGACTAGCAGAGCTTGGCTGTTTGCTTAGCATGTTGCCCGTGCTTGCTTATGGTCCCGGGCAGTTCTGCCATGCATTCCACCATCTTTTGTTGCGTGCCTTTGGCCAAGACTACTGGTGACAGGTTTTGCCAAGGCCGTGCCTCAGGCCCAAGCAAAGTAGAGCCAGAACGGTGGCCGTGGGTCAAAACCAATGGTACCATTTTGGGGTAGGTGCACCACCCGTTTTAGTCTATTTTAGTGGGGATTGGGATGTTCACTGCGGGTACGGGATTTTGGCCCATGTTTTGACCCATGGCCATGTAGCAGGACTGCAGTTCTCAGTCGGCCACCTGAGGTGGCTAGCATCGTGGACTTCTGGCGGAAGAGGGATGCGCCCTCCATAGGCGTTGTGGGGCCGGGAGTCATGCGCTCGAATGCCTGACACCCAAAGCCCAGTGGATAGCCCCATTGGTCGTTTCAGGTTTTCTGCGGTTTTCGGGCAAATTTCTGATTGGGCGCCGTTGCAGACAGATACCAACGAGCCTGCAAGAGGCCAAATCATTCGGGTTCGTCTGGGTGCACGCTGCAGAGTGGGATTTGTGCATTCACAACCTGCCATGCGTGTTTGCATTCGCTTTGGCAATTGGCAAGCCTTTGCGTGGAACGCAACAGCAAGGGAAAAAGCCCTTCAACCGACCACGCTCTCGACTTGGTCAACAGAAGTCACATGCGCCTGATTGCCTTATCGGGCAGCGGCTCGCCGGTGTGGGCGTATGTCCGCACGCGGATGTGAGGGGCAAAAGCGATCCTGCGTCAAACCAAGCTTATGAGAGAAACAACCACACGAGAACCAGCCAGCTCACGTGCAACGTGGCAAACTTCACCGATAGACCTGAATTACCGCTGAGTTGCAAGTCACTCACACTCACCCACCCACCCAATTTTCTTGCCTCGCTGACTGGCTGACCCGCTGAGGGCAGACAGGCTGCCTGGCCTGACTTGCTGACTCGCTGACTCATTGACTTGCTGACTCATTGACTCACTGACGCACTGAGTCTCCGACTCACTGGCTCACTTGACTCATTGACTCACTCAGTCACTCATGTACTCAGTCACCCGGTCACTCAGTCAATCAGCCTGTCACTCGCTTGCTCGCCAGCTGCCCAGCCGGCGACCCATCCTTGCATGCAGGCATGCGCACTTGCATGAGCGCACGCGCACACGCAGGCGCGCGCGCGCGCATTCTGCAGGTTCTCGCAGACCTGCTTCTGCGCATGCGCAACGCACACACGTGCACACGCACACCCACAAAGAGGTGCACACAGAGGCACGCAGATGCGCACAGACGCATGCAGCTGCACACAGATTAATGCATCCACTGCATCCGCACCATCATCATTCCCCACGTGCTTTGGAAGTAGGGAGTCTATGCATTGGTGGACGTTTCATCAAACAGCAACAAGAAGGGAAAGCCAACGACTGAAGGCCGCATTCCTTTTGAATAAGTGCTCCCTCGTCTGCCGGCCGTACATGGCAATGCCCCCTCGCGAAGTGGGACCTTATCTTGGCGGTTCCCAGCCGTTCCCTTCGGTTTCGAGTTGCTTGTCATTGGTTTAGTGGTTGGGTGTTCATTCAATGTCCCCCGCAAGTTCGTCATTTTTTTTCGGATTTCCATGTCACCCACCAGTTCTTTTCGCTTTCAGCAGATCAGAAAACGGACAGCTCCAGTGAGGGAGGGCTGCGCAAGGCGAGTCCCTTCCTACGTCCACCAGTGCCCTTTCTCACCCCTTGTTTGGTGGGGAGGGTTCGGGACCCTACTAAAATCGACAAAACCGAAAAAAGAAACGGTGCCACCGGGGACGGGGGAACTTATTCTAACCTCTCTACTGGACCTTGCGACGGCCTCGGGGCCGGAGGTCAGTACTTCGAGGACCACCCGGAGGAGCTTCCGGAGTTGGACGGGGGGAGGCCGAGCCTCGGGCCGCGAGCGATCAGGGAGTTGGTGGCCGGAGTTGGTTTACTTTCTGGGGGGGGACGATCCAGAAAGCGCGTTTTGGAGGGGAGGATCATTTATTTTTTCCTCTCCCTTTTTTCTTTTTCTTCCCTCCTGCGCTTAGAAGGCACCTCTTTGAGACTTATCCCACTCGGGATACCCCGTTTTCTTTTTCTCACCAATATAGCCGCCCAACGGACACCGGAAACTCAGGTGTGGCGGGGAGGGGGGGAACCAACAGAGCCAAGCAACCTGTCATTTTCGAGGAAACCTTCCGCCCTGCTTCACCTAGGTATGGGTGGCTTGTTGCCTCTCCTTGGGCATGTGCAACGTGCTCGCAGTGGCACGGGTGCCTCTCGTTGCCAAGCTTTTTCATTGCCATGTTTGCCATTTTCCTTCCCCTTGCTTCATTTTTGCTTTTGACAAGACAAGCGTTCACATCTGGCAGTCCGGGTCTGCTTGGTCAAGCCCTGTGATCCCCCAGCTCATTGCAGGCCGGTCCATTCCTTGCTGCTGAACTTCTTCGCGATGCAGCTTTGGACGGCAACTCAGATCCGGGGTGAGTTCCGGCGGAAACATGTGGGGGCTGATCAAAAGGTCCGGTAAACATGGGAGGAGCGTTGGTTGGAACACCAGTAAACAAAATGATGTTTCAACCACTAAATCGGGAAATACACGTGGTCATTTGGGGGCCAGAATGTTGATCAACCCCCACGTGTGTGTGTGTGTGTGTGTGTGTGTGTGTGTGTGTGTGTGTGTGTCTGTGTGTCTGTGTGTCTGTGTGTCTGTGTGTCTGTGTGTCTGTGTGTCTGTGTGTCTGTGTGTCTGTGTGTCTGTGTGTCTGTGTGTCTCTGTGTCTGTGTGTCTGTGTGTCTGTGTGTCTGTGTGTCTGTGTGTCCGTGTGTCGGTGTGTCTGGGTGTCTGTGTGTCTGCGTGTCTGTGTGTCTGTGTGTCTGTGTGTCTGTGTGTCTGTGTGTCTGTGTGTCTGTGTGTCTGTGTGTCTGTTTGTCTGTGTATTTAGTCTTTGAGATTTGCGCTGCTGCATTCCAGCAGAAACTTTCCTCCAGCTGGGAACTAGCGGGGCGGCATTGTGAGGGCGAGGATTTGGAAAGAGCTGGGCCTGAACATTTGCAGCCGCAAGCCCAGTGAGCGATGGTATTGTCGCCGTCTTGCCTCAAAAAGTTTTGTTTTTTTTCTCGCTCATTGTTTTTTCTTCCTCAAGGCTTTGGAGAAGCGATCTCTTTCCAACAATCGTCCTGCTGTCATATGCCAAATGCCGTGCGTTGAATCGCAGCTGAAATGTCTTGAACGCGTGCCAGCAAACATGAGCTAAGGTGCATCAATCAGCTTACTACATGTTTTGCAGCAAATTCCGCTGCTCCCCAACCTTTCAACCATACCTTCTGTATAGACAGCGTGCATCCCACAGCAGAAGGGCACCCACATTGGGGCAAGCAAAGGGCACCCGTCGTGCGGCATAAGGCGGTGACGAGAACCTCTCGGCAGAGGCACGGGGGGTTTGGCATACAGAGATGGCACCATGCGAAACCTTGCAACTTCCCCCCCAAGCACCAAGCAAAAGACGGAACATAATTGCTCCAGTGGGATTACTCATTGCGGGTGCCCTTCAAGTGAACCTATCACTGATTAGTGTGCATAGTCATTTCTTTTGCACCTTGGTGAAGTTGTCGCATGTGAAAGCCATTCTGCACCTCGCAGGGACGTGGGGGGGCGTGCCTGTGAGGGGTGAGCAGTTGGGAGGGGGGGTAGGCAACCACTCGCCGCGATCATCGATTTGTGTTGGCTTGTGGTATCCCGAGTAAATGTTGCGTTTTGTTGACTCGGCAAGCTTTTGCGCCGTTTTGAGGAGCACTAGTTTTTGTTGGCAAGGCCTTCAAGGCGTTGGACGCCGATGGGGACGGCACAGTGTCCAAGGCAGACCTGAAATTGAGGCTTGCGAAGGCGCAGTGGGGTCGGGTCGGAAGGTGTGTGGAGTTTCGGGCCTACCTTCGGGAAAAGCAAGCGTTGCTTGGGGCCGAGAGGTATGGTCCGTGGCCCGCAAGTGAAACAGGAATCAACTGTTCCCATGGTCCCATCATGAACCTTTTCTGAGAGACACCGGCGCAAACGGGCTGCGGCTGCGGCTGCCAGGCCTCCAGGCTGACCGGCGGAGGGATGAAGCGGAAGTTCGGGTTGAGTTTGGATGCGGGAGGGAGGGGACGGTACCCACCCCCCCCCCGGTTTCGTGGGGGTTCAGACCACTTGACTTTGGAGCTTTCGGGGGGGAAACTCTCTCCTCCCTATGAAGAGGAGGGGCTATTTTTTTATATACAATCCGGGGTCAAGATTAGACCGTAGGCCGTCAAATCGCAGGTCTCGGGCTTTGAGAATGTCTTCGAGGGCATGGACGTCTTGGTGGACAACATGTTAGGCGTGCCGAGATCTTGCCGAGATGTCCTCACCCAAAGTCTGCTTCGGTGGGTGCTGCGACATCGCCCAGCGATACAAGGGGTAAGTCTGGCATGCGAATTACGGGGGGGTTGCTTTCCTCTGCTTGGTCAGAGGGCCAGAGGACAGTGAGGGCATGAGTTGCGAGGCGAGATCGCCAAGTTCGGCGCGAAGGATAAAGACAAGGGACTCAGCCGCGGAACTGAGAAGCACGACTCAAGACCGGGCCCTGCGTTCTGGCAAGTTGTTTGGTTTTTTCCTGGGGGCAGTTCAATTCTCAGGAAAAATATTCCTTGATCAATTTCCTTAGCTGGCTTTTGTCTCGAAAGCTCACCTTGAAGAGGCTTTGCTTGGGGTTTGTGCCTTGGCTAGGGGGCTTTTGGGGGGGTTGGCCTGACGCGGCACCCTGTTTCGCATGCAGAAGGTCCACTAATTGCCTTTTGGCAGGGCAGGGCCCGCACCTCTCCGCGCTCTGCTTCCCGAGACTTCGCTCCTCGCCTGCCCAGCTCCTCGCTCCTCGCTCCTCTCTCCGCTCGTCTGCCCAGCTCTCTCCGCCGCCCTTCACTCCGCTCCTTGCGCTGCTGCTTTCTACACTCTTGAGACTTGCGCTCTCTCTGTGTTGCCCTATGCCTCGTGATTCGCGGGCTCTGTGTTGCCCTAAAAGTCCGCGGAAGCTGCGCACCGATCTTGCACAGATGCTACCCTTTGTTTGCCTCCCTGGCCTCAAGTCCGTAGGGTGGTTGTTTAGCTGAGTTTGAGCCACGCGACGAGCTGATTATTTGCTTCTTGTGCCTAGGCTTTTCCAAATTACTTTAGCTGGATGGACCTCACCGCAGATTTCTCTTGGGGTTGTTTCCTAGAATTTGTTCCTGTTGTATTTGAGAACTTTCCAGTGTTGCACATGTTGGAGCCTCGTGGCTTTAATTTCTTCACTGACTTCTTCTTTTTTGCTCAGAATTTGGCCATGTTTTTGTTGCTTTTGGTTTGGGCTTCAGGCTTCGTTGCTTGTTGTTGTCTCACTCCCGTTCCTGGACTTTCCACTTTCTGGGCTTGGACCATGGCGGCAAACAAAAACCAGCTCAGGAGAATCTTTTTTGGGCCCATCTCGAAAAGTGAGTTCTTCCCTAGGTCTGCCAGTGCCCTTTCTCACCCCTTTTCTGCGGGATGGTTCCCCTTACTAAAATGGACTACAGAAAAAAGTTGGTACCCTTATTCTAGCCTCTCAAATCTGGAGGACCTAGTTCCAGGGAAAAAACCAAACCCCCCAAAAAAGCCAATCAGTGCCTGACCCCTCCGCTGGGACGCCGGGCGTCCGCCTGCTTGGATTGGTTGAGGTGAGGAGGCCTTGCAGGCCGCCGCCAAGCACTGGTCCAGCCGGAGCCGGGGGCTCGTCGGGTGGGGTTTGGGGTGTGGGGTGTGGGGGGGGAGGGGTTATGGTGGGGGCGGGGTGGGGTGTGGTGGGGGGGGCCGATTTTGCTGAACCTCCTTCATTTTGCGGGTGGCTTAGGGTTCTCTGCAACATATATAAGGGTGTCCTTGGCCTGGGGCGGGGGGGAAGGAAGAAGTTGCCACATGGGGTTTCAACGTGCCGAAGTGGGAGGCCGGAAGGGGGTTCGTAGATTGACTGTTGGTCTGCTGGTTGGGAATGTGTCGGCATGGTTTGTGGTCCCTCTCGGTTTGTCACATGCCTGCAACTGACATGCAGCTCAAGCATCCTCTATGAATGGGGTTGGTCCTATGGCTGAAATTTAGCAGGCACTTTCTGTCAGCTGCAGCCCGGGTTGAAGTGCTAGCTCATAGCCCGCGTTACTCTCTATCTACGCAGCTCCGCTAAGGTTGAATTTCCAGAAAGTCTCGCTGACCCAATGTAAGGCGTATCAGGACTGGCTTCAGGGCAATGCTCGCTTTTAGATGCTTCCCGAGGTGATTTTTCTTTGCTACCTCTTTTAAAAAACCTGGCCCGGCGTTTTCGGGACAGAATGCGAATCTCCAGCAGCCATTCATGATTCATTGCTTTTGAAACCATTTGGGTAGGCGTGGCAGGCCCGCCGTTCTTTTGTCTCTATATATTTATCTCTCTGTCTTTCCCTTTCTTTTTCTGGCCTGTCTGCATCTGTCTGTCTCTCTGTCTGTCTCTCTGTCTGTCTGTCCGTGTCTGTGTCTGTGTCTCTGTCCCTGCCTCTGTCTGTGTCTGTGTCTTCGTCTCTGTCTGCCTTTGCCTGTGCCTGTGCCTGTCTCTGTCTCCGTCTCTTGTCTCTCCCCCTCTCCGCTTGGAGGTGCCGTGGTTCACACCCAGATTTGCCGCGAACCGTGTTCCTGGTGCTTCTTTCGGCCGCGCCGAGCGCCACAAGCCGATGCCTTCAGGTCTGGCATCTTTGGTGGACTCAGACTCTGAGAGCGAGAAGGCTTAAGAGAAAGCGCCGAATCGGCGCTTCGACCCGCTAAAAGGGGCAGATTTTTCCGCTGGCCTATCACCAAGCTTGGGCAGGCTGGGCATATGCAGGAATAAGGCTTGCCGCTCAGGTCAAAAAATTCTTTGGCTTCAGGGTGGGGCATGCTTGGATGATGCAAGCCGGTTCCTTTTGCTCCAAAACAGGGCTTGCGCTTTCACCAGGCTCGAGTTTGCCATCTCAAGCCAGCCTGGGAAGCCAAGATTGGAGAGTAGGTCAGCAGCTAGCGCGCGCTGGCTCTGCCCTGAACGAGGAGTTCGCACACATCCATATGCGGCTAGCAGTGGCCGGCGCGGTGATTTTTTCAACGGCATCGGGGTGCGCCGATCTCTTAAAAAGAGGCCGGCTGCTTTGAGTCGCTGGAGACGGCCGGCAGTCGTCTCATGGAAGAAGTGTTTAACGCTCTGGAGTGCAAGGGGCCGAACAGCAACAAAAAGAGACGGCTGCTGCAGTTTACGTGCAAACAACGGTTTCTTGGACAGCAATCCTCCCACCAATGCTGAGCACATTGTGGCAATTTGTATAAACGGGTGTTCTCCCTTGTTCCTTCCATTCCTGTATTCTCTTTTCCTTCCGTTCTCATCGCTTTTGGGGAAGTTCAATCCTAGCTGCTGCACACGTTTTACTTTCACCCTCGCTTCACCGTATATTGCGTGTAGGAGGGTACTTGGAACTGGTCTTGGGCGACTGGATTGCGACGCAAGATCTTCCCAAGCCTGAGTGCTCGAAAGCACCAGGATGTATGGTTTCGGCTGTAGAAGCTGAAGATTCGGATCGTCACCTCAGCTAAGTTCAGATGGCAACTTGATTTGTGGCTCCAGAAGCTGGCGTGTAAGGACAACTCAGCCATTCCACCTTTTTTGGCGGCAACAGCTCCTTTGCGGGGTTTTGGAACAGGGAGTGCATCGCAATTGGCTCGTGAGGTGTTCCTCTAGCTTCCTCGATCCTTGGGGTTTGCAATCCATGGACCCGCACGAATCACGCCTTTCCTTACGCTAGTAAGCTTTGGCGGAAATAATCTTTGTGCAGACATGCGGGCAGCCATGCCCCTTTGGCCCCTTGCAAGGTTGTTTCAGCTTCTGGGCTACATTGAAAACCGGCGCTTGAAACACTGAGTCATGTGACGGACAACATGTGACAGGCAACATGCGACCATGAAGTTGTAGCAACATAGCCGGGGTGGCCCTTCCCATCTAGCAATGCCTTTTGCCGGCATGAAGGTTTCTCAGCTGATGCTGGCCGTGGTGCTGTTCGGTTCTGGGGAACGGCTGGCCACGCTCATGGCGGATACATCCTCGGTTCTGCGACAGCGCCCTGGTTGGGGGGCCGGGGCTGGGCTGGAGATGCAGGCAAAGCTGACCGCAGTGTGAAACGGAGGCCCGCTGCCCTGGGTGATACCTCAAGCGCTTCTGGCTCCATCCAGCTCCAAGGACCCAGCACAATGGCCGAAGGCTGGTCAGCAAGAGCTACTTGCCAGAGGCCTGTGGAAGGCTGGCCCAAAGGACTGGCCGCTGGATGTCCAGCACCACTCCCGTTTGGATGGAGGGAGGAGATCCAGGAGAAGTACTGGCCTGTGTCGAAGTCCAACACCCAGGCACATCCTACCTGGAGCTAGTGGGCAACGACCGCTTCCGGCTTGCTTATGCCGCACATGTGGTTGAGCGCGTCCCAGACCTCGTGACACTTCTGAACGATGTCGCCTCCATCCTTGCTCCCGGCGGGGAGTTGAGGCTTGCCGTCCTGGACAAGCGTTACTGCTTCGATTTCCGGCGCAGGATGAGAGCACTTTTGCTGACATCATGAGTACACACTATGAAAAGTGCGCAGTAAACCCGGGGTCAGCTGCTTATGACGAGCTACCCTGGTCCCCACAAGCACAATGATGCTGAGGCTTTCTGGCGCTGCCCAAGGGACGCTACACTAGAAGCATGACTCCGCTGTGCTGAGAATTCGGGAGAACCTTCAAAAAAGACGATGGGGAAGTCCGCGGAGGATGCGCAGGTGCACCGTTGGCATCCCTGCCTCCTTCGTGGAGCGTATCTCGGCGTGGTGGAGACCCGGCCGGGGACTTTCGAGTTCTTCGTCGCCCTGGTGAAGCAATGAGGGCCAAAGATGGGTGGTCAAAATTAAGCCACCAGGATATGGGCCGCAAGTTGAATCGTCCTATGGGTATGGGTCAAAACTCACCGAATTGGATTGCAGGTTTGAGTCCTTTCCAACCGCAGCCAGATCTCGAGGGTTTTGCGTTAGGCTCATCCACAGCGCAGCACTTGGAGTCGATAAAAGTCCCTGCGCTTGGGTCCAAACCGAGCGGAGCTTTTCGCGTATGCAAATGTGCAGGGGAAGCATGGCGAAATAGATTGAGCGTAGGGTTGGCAACGAAGACACAGATTAGAAATGAAAGGCGTGCTGAATCCAGGCACTGGTAAGCAACCAAATTGCTTCTTGTGGCTTTGCTATAGTGATGTGCGTGCATTGATCGCATATGATTGAAACATGTGGTTTCCAAAGTTCCTTTTTTTGCAAGTTGTAACTGTAGACACTCCTTTTGCCTTGCAAAGCCTTCGTGCCCTCAGCACCAGAATTACCCGTGGAAAAGCCCTTGCTCCGGTGTTCCCCGTAGTGTTGCAGTGTAAAGCCCCGTGTTTCAATGCACTACGGGGGCGTGTTACCCTGGGCCCTGTGGCAGTTGCCCTGCGGCACCGAATTCATGCTGTGGCCACCTGGACCTGTTAAACGTATCTGCCCCCCGAGCGTAGGACGAGGGTGCGGTTCTCTCGGTGCAGCTTGGTGTGGTTTCCGTTTCGGTACTATGCGAGTTGACGTATCCGGCCACTCAGTTCACTATGTGGCCGTCAGCTGCTGAGCACGAGTTCACTTGATTTTCGCGGTACTAAGTTTCATTCCCTGGAGCATTTCATTGGGAAGCGGGTCCGTGTGTATTTGTTTGTTTTGCTTTGCTTTGGTTTGTCGAGTTTTGTTTTGTTTTCTTTCTTTGTTTGCTGGTTTGTGTCCGCTGAAAGCCTTGGGCTGGTTCCAGCCTCTCAGAGGCCGGCTGGCGACTTGGGCTGTGCCGTGTGGCTGGGTGAGACTTGGTGCGCGCCAGCGCGGCCCAAGCGACGGACCTGCCACGGCGGGACCCTCAAGAGCTGCCAATGCAGGACAGGCGCGGCTGGGGAGGGGGGAGGGGGGAGGGGGGGGGTTTCAGCGTCCGGCTCCGCAAGGCTCAGCATTTCAAGGAACCCGGCTGCTGCAGATTGTAGCAGTTAGGACCTAAAATTTAGGTGACAAATCGCACGTCACGTTGCGGAGTCTTGTTCTTCCTTGGGGATGCCCCCTTCATGAAGAAAGAGCCTGAACCCCGCGTGAAGCTGAGGGGGGCCAAACGCAATTGTTCTTTCTCGACTTCCCTCTGGCCGACACCAAGCAACAGGGGACACTCGTTATTGGAATGTGCCGCGTGCTTGTTGTGGCTTAAACCTGCAGTTGCACAGCTTCAGTTTTTCCGGCGTCGCCCAACTTCAGCGCTGAATCGACTGCCCAATCACTCTGGAGGCTTCGAACCTCCCATCTGCTCCTGTGTGGTAGGTCAGGGGGGAAAAAACGGTCATCCGTTGCTCAGTGGCTTGTCCCGAAGACAAACATATGAGCCAGTACCCTGGATCCACGGCCGGGATGGCCCCATGATCTTGTTTTACCACTGTCCAAGTCACCCTAAGTAGGTCAAAGGTCAAAGGGAACAACGCCACTGACTTTAATGACCGCACAAAACCTGGGACATACCGCCTCCGGGGGCGGGGGGGGGGGGGAGGGGGCTCGGGGCTCAAAGCTCAAGAGCTTCAGCGTAGGCGCAGCCGATCCTGCTTGCTCGCCGCGGCTTGCGCGGTGCTGGCCGGGGGGGAGGGGAGGAGGGGGGGGAGGATGGGGAGGATGGGGAGGATGGGGGGGATATGGGGGAGGTCAGTGGAGCCACCACTCAAGGGTGCCGCCGAAAAGCAAAGCAACCACCTCGGCGCATGGATTGGCCGGCCATGTTGTGCTGCACAAGCCTGGCAGAGCATTGTGCGGGTTGTGGTTGATCAAAGTTGTGTTTCGTAGCTTGGTAAATCGGTGCATGTAGGAATTGCCTCAAGAAAGTTTCCTGCCTTTGCAACATGGAGTGCATCACAGCTCTCGGATGTTTTTGATTTGCCTTTTCTACTCGCGCCCCAGCAAGCTAAACCTTGCCATAACGCATGCACGGGCAACCGCCAAGATCCTGGGAGAACCGCAAACAAGGATCCGAGGTGTCCGATGTTCGGTCATATTCGGTTCGTGCTGGGAGGGGTCAGGACCCCCTTGTCCAGAGAGGCGGATTCCTTGATTGCTATTGGGTTGGATCTTCAGACTTTAACTTCTTTGGAAACGAAGGGTTTTCCATTGGACTCTTGGGCCCGCAAAAAGGTAAACTTTTTGCAGAGGGTCCACAGCAAGTCCTGGTGTTGGAGGTGGTCGGAAATTGGGGCCCCGCAGCTTTTCAGCTCTACTTCTGCAGTTGGGCTTGCCAGATTCCGCGCGGGGAGCAGAAAATGGCACTGGCTGTGCAGAAAGCCCGACATGCTTTGCCAAAGCCAGTGACTTGACTGCGCATGCAAATGCATCGTATCGTGGGGGAGAAGCCGGCAAGCCCAGTATGTGCACAAAATTGCACCCCAACAAGATGGCCACTTTAATTCACCACTCCCTGCCATCTCGAGCGGCGGTTCCCAAACATTGAGCCATGTCCAAGATTCACACTTGACAGCTTGAGACGATTCTGCAAGCTTTCCACCCGACTGCGCCGATCTCCGGCGCGATGGGGCCTTGCGAATGTCTGGCCTGAGCCCCTTCTGCGGCACGACCATGACGCTGCACCACCGCCTGGCGCAGCCGGCGGCCTGTCTGTTTAGCCGTTTCGCCTGGCTCTTGTGAGCGACGAGGCTTTGGGGCTGGCATCGGACTTCGTCCACAAATGAGAAACGGGAAACGCCCTTCGGCCTGGAAAAAGGGGAGGTTTGGTTGCGTTCAGTTGTGTCGCGGAGGCCGTGGGCAACGGGGCCTTCGCCCCGTGGCCGCGGCCGAGCTTGTCGCCGCCGAGCTTTTCGCCTTGGCTGCTGATTCCTGGGGCGCTGCTGGGCCTGGGCCTTCCGCTGATGTTGGCCCAGGCTCTGCGCCGGAGGCGCATGGCGCAAGCGGGCGGGCGCGGGGCCGTGCGAATTTGGCTGTTTCGGAGTGTTTTTTTTTCTTGGTGGCAGCAACGTGCCGTGGGGCTTGTCTTAGATAAAGTTTGAGCTCGCGTTCCGGGCTGCCGACGCTCTTTGCAAAAGGATTTCGTGCCAAGTGCCGCAAAGAACATCGAAAGAAAGGAAGCGCAGCAAGGGATTTGGCAGAGGAAGATACCCATTCCAGAACCAGCAGACATCTACACGCTCAGAAGGTTCGTTTGGGGGTTCCGTTTTCGCTGTCCATTCAGACTGGCCTCAATCGGCCGGACGTGATCTGGATCAAGAAACGTGCCAAAGACCCGTTTAGCTGGTAGGGATGGTCATCCAAAGCCCCTTGGGTTTCCACCTCGGCCCGCCAGGACACCACCGTCCCCCCGCAAGGCGACTGGCATGCGTGCGGCGGTGCGGGTGAGCTTGCGCTTGGTGCTGCCGCTCAGGGAACGGCGACGCGCCTTGGCAAAGAGAAGGCGTCGTACGGCCTTTTGGCCATGTAGTCAGTCTGATGTTGGGGTTTTCCTTCTTTTGGAGGGTGCGCCCAGTAACTAACTAACTATCTAACTAGCTAGCCAACCAACCAACCAACCAACCAAGCAAGCAAGCAAGGAAGCAAGCGAGCAAGCAAACCAACCAACCGAGCAAGCAAGCAAGCAAGCGAGCGAGCAAGCAAGCAAGCAAGCAAGCGAGCGAGCAAGCAAGCGAGCAAGCAAGCAAGCAACCAACCCAACCAACCAAATAGACAAGTGAAACCCATGGTGGACATGGGTACCCTCTTTACCTGTTTTGGCAGGGGTGTGGCAGGCTCCTGCTGCCTGCTTCTGCTGCTCTTCCTCTCGCTGGCCTTGGCGAACTGCGCGGCGGTGGCGCAGAGCTTCGCGCAGCGCGACTACATGACCGCGCTGTCGGCCAGGGACGGCCAGCTCTTCTTCAGGCGAGGGGCGGGTCCCACCCCGGATGCCGGAGGAGTGGGATATGGAGGTGGCCGTGGGGAACCACAAATAACGGTCCTGTGCTACAAGGAGGTTCCTCCGAAAGAAGATTTGCTTTTGGGAGACTCCATGTGAAAAAATCAGGAGTGCAATCCAAGTGGCATTGTTGTGCCTGAGATGATCTGAAAGGCCAAGTCGGCAACCTTCTGCCGGTCCCTCGACCATTGTTACTCCGCTCGGGAGCGGCCGTTGATTTCTCCTGTCTTTTATGAGGCTTTGGCGCCTCTTCTCTTTGCGAGGTTCCGCCGGTCGTTGATGTCGGGCCCCATCGTGAAATGGCTGTGGGTCAAAACCAATGGTACTAACTCGGGGCCCATTTTAGTCTCTTTCAGTGGGGATTGGGATGTTCACTGGGGGTGTGGGCTTTTTGGACCCATGGCCAAATGGCAAGATGCCCTTTTTGGAACCGCCAGATTGGTTGTCCTGCGAAGGTGACGCATAAGAGCCTCCTGTGCCTTTTTGAGCCCACTCACGGGGATGAAACCGGAACAGGGGATTTCCCAAGAAAAGACACCATCTCGGGGAGTGTTTTTTTCCATTTCTCAATTTCTGAATGAGCATTCCGGGTGTTGGTTGAATGAACCGTTTGGGGATTTCCTTCAAAAAGGCACCAAATCAGGGATGCCTCAACCTGCTGGTGCTCAGTAGGGCATGTAAAACCCTTGGCAGAGACAAAGAATCGGCGATGGTTTTGAACTAGGAGCCATGAGCCCATTCTCATTCCCTGCCTCTCTGCTTGGTGGCTCCCAGCCATCCCCTTAGCTTTTTAGCTTCTTGGTGTTTAGTGGGGATTTCCATTTCACCCACAAAAGTTCGTCACTTTTAGCGAAGGATCTGAACACGGGCAGAGTCTCGTTCGATCGAAGCGGTCGAAGCGATGGATCCAGATCCAGGCGCCTGGGCTTGGCCATGGCGCTGCTGGCCATCACCATGCCGGCGCGGTCCCTGGCAGAGTTCGCCGCCGGGGGCCTGGCGCAGGCGGAGATGGCGCGAGTGGGCGGACGGCGCATGGGCCGTCGTCTCAGCCCCCCGCTTATCGGGGCCCACCCTGGAGCCACTTCAAGTTGAAGGGTTCTTAGAGTCCAGTTGAGGGGCTCGGGGGGCCTTTTTAACTTCCAATCTTAAGAAATGGGCTCAGGTTAGTCTGGGCGGGGGGAGGGATAGGAATGTGAGGTCCTGTCTTTGGATGTCCCTGGGTGGTGGGGAATGTTGTTGGGGTGTGTCCTTAAGATGGCTTGCGGGGATGTTTGCCAGGCTTTTGTTTTGATGTCGTTGAAGGTGCTATCTTTGACGCATGCTTTTTTTGTTGATATTATTGTGTCTGTTGGGATGTCGTTGAGGACGGTACCGTGTTTAACGGATGTCTTTGGAATTCAGGAGGTTCGACACCGTTGGAAGGCTGTCCTCCCTGAGGTGTGGCGGGACACTTTGACGCACGAGATGCTGCGGGAGTACTTTCACCCAAAGGTGGTGTATTGGCTGCGCAGGATGTCCGATGTCCCCGACCCTGACATGCGGATTGCGGTGGAAGCTGGCCATTTCACGGATATGCTGGTCCTGTTGGTTCGGGACATTTTCGAGAACATTTTGATGCTTGGCATGGGGATGCGGGGAAGCCAACAACACAGCTTGCAGCCATGCCCAACACTCTTGTTCAAGTTGCGCACCTTGACTTGGCTCGTTTCAACGTCCGCTTTTGTTGGGGCAAACGTCTGCATTTCCTGGTGGCCTGACAAAATGACTCTTCGGGGCTTTTCTAGCCTCTAACTCACATGACAGATGAATGACAGTTGATCTTCTTGATGTCTGTTGGAGGATGGGTCTAACAGTTCTTGCATGATTATTAAAGAGCAAACATAACCAGTAGGGGGAGTTCGCCACGATCATCACAAGACAACGTGTTGTACTATTTCTCCCTCTCTCTTCATGCCTGTCTCTGTCTCTCTTTCTTTCTGCTTGCCTGCCTATTTGCCTGCCTGTTTGTCTCTGTTTGTGTCTGTGTCTGCGTCTGTGCCGTGTCTCTGTCTGTCTCTGCTTTTGTTTGTTTTCTTTTGCCCTTGTCATGTTTTTCCTCCATTCCTTCTTTCTTCTTTCTTCTTTCTTTCTTTCTTCCTTTCTTCCTTTCGTTCTTTCTTTCCTTCTTCCTTCCTTCTTTCTTTAATTCTTTCTTTCTTTCGTTCTTTCTTCCTTTCTTCTCTTGCTTTAAAGCAACTCGGCCGCCAGCAAGCCATCAGCAAACCTTTCCCGTTTTCTTTTTCGCTTTTCAGGAAGCTCTGCGGGTTCCTGGGGGTGGTCTTCAGCATCTCCCCGCCGCTCTGCGGCATCATGGGCGCCTACGCGGGCCTCGGGGCGGTGTGCACCGTGCGGCTCTTCGGGGCGCCCCTGGTGCAGCCGCTTGGACCCGTGGATCGGCGAGGGGAGGCGTTTCGGGAGGCGTTTCGGGGGAGGGAGGCACTCTGGATATTGTGTGTGTGTGTGTGTCTTTGTTTTTAGGATTTTTCCTGTGGTTAGTAGGTTCCTACGGTTGTTAGGAGTTTCGCTTGATATGAGCATGGGGAGATGGAGGTTAGTAAGGGACCATTGTAATACCGGGTTTCGATTGTGACTCGTATCAGTTTCCATGGTTTTTAGGAGCCCCACCAAGGGACTCCCCAACCCCAAC